ACATTTGCCAAAGTGAGAATTAAAACCTGCTTAAATTGTTTGAGGTGAAGAGTATGGCTCTGGCACATTAGTGTTTTGCTTAATGTGTAGGGGATGGCTAGGGTGACCAGGCAGCAAATGTGAAAAATCGGGGCAGGGAGTGGGGGGTAATAGGAGCCTATATAAGAAAAAGACCCCAAAATCAGGACTGTCCTTATAAAATCAGGACATCTGGTCATCCTAGGGATGGCATACAATTTTTCATGTATAGATTAAGAAATACCCCATTGGAGGGTTGCCTGGTGATATGGGATTTTGCTTAATGCTTTTGCTAATGAACAAGCACAAAATTTGCCATCACCATAGTTGACAGTGTGGAGAGGTCAAAGATTTGAATGCATATAGAAAAGGAGCTAGCTTCTCACCTAGACAATCCATTCAGGAAAAACTTGATGGAACAATGCCAGGAAGTTTGCTTTGTTACTGCCCTGTGCTTTCTTTGCCTGTTCAATATTTTGCACTTACACAAGCATTTGTCATCTGAGGGTTTTAAAGCACTTTGCATCAGTATTCCTCAAACTCCTTTATACTGTTAAAAGCTCCATTTCACAAATGTGGAAATTGAGGCTTGTGGAGATTAAGTGATTTGCTGAAGGTTATACAAAAAATCAGTTTAATTCCTTATGGGAAACATGTTTGTTAATTTTGAATTGAAACTGAACACTTTGAACTTTTATTATAGCTACGGGTTGACAAATGGTGGGGTAACAGAAAGGAGCTGGCAACAGTTCGTACAATTTGCAGTCATGTTCAAAACATGATCAAGGGTGTCACATTGGTAAGTTTTTATTTTGAAATAGAATATTTGTCACTTGATTCTTAACAATATCAGACAACTTCATTCTTATGAGAATTTTTTTTAGCCATGCTAAATGAAAGGTACTGTATACCGTGTGGGTTAGCTATGATCTTGCCTTTGCCAGTGAGATCACTTTAGAGTTAGGAGAGAACATTAAGCATAAACATTAAAGATCTTTGAGGCTTGATGCTTCAAAAGCAACTCCTCTCTGTTATAAGTTAAAATACTCTTCAGAAATTATCTAACATTTCATCACATTTGTCAAGTAACTCTTAAATATATCTCCTAGTTTTGGAGTCTTCTAGTTCTGTAACAAAGCGGTTCTCAAACTTCAGTAACCTGAGGACTCCCATTTAAAAATTTACTTTGTACTCCCAAGCCCCTCTATTTAGGCTCCACCCTCACTCCACCCTTCCCTTAAGGCCCCACCCCACCTCTTCCTGCCACTGCTCCAACCCTGCCCCCAGTTTGAGAAATGCTGCTGTAACATATTTGAGTTTAATGATGACATTTTTGATTTGGTTACTCCCAGGGCTTTCGTTACAAAATGAGGTCTGTGTATGCTCAC